GCTGATTTTGAGTGGGGCCTGTCATTATCTTACTCTGTCATTAGAGGCTACATTGGCCTGTGTATGTCAGTCTATTTGGACAGCAACTCTTTTGCTAGCAGTGTTCCCTACATTTATTAAAATCCCCGAAGGTAGTGTTGTGTTGCATTTCTGGTATAAAAGCCCTGAACCTTTTGCGCAGAAACAGAAATGGTGTGATATAATTGTGACTTAATATTTCCAGAGAATGGTCAATTATAGCTATTTAAGTAAACACTAGCTGGATTTTCTTAGGAGCAAGGAAGTATGGAAACTGGAAACCTAATTCGCATCTCGCTTATGAAAAAAAAAAAAATACTCATCTCTTGCAGAAGCTTTTTTTCTTTTTTCTGTGCATGTTTTCATTTTCCCAAAGTGCAGTTTATTTCTAATATGAACACAAATGTCTTTTGAATCCTACTGTTATTTTGCAATAATATGTCACATACAAGAGAGTAACATCTCATAACAAAAAGCTTTTTTAATCATTAAAGAAACTCTTGGTAACTTGATACTGTTTTCCATGGGCCAAAATTTCATACTGGAAGAAGCGAAGAAATCTCCACCAGACCTACCTTTGAGCATGAGTTTCAAGCTTTCTAAAATATTTTTTTCTATTAAAATTAGGGTCAATTACCTTTTTCCCATGGTATACTCATGTGTGATCCAGAACTGAATTTGTTAGATTTTTTCCAGTCGTACCAAATTCTTTCCCATCTCCATACTTTCCAATTGTTGAATTCTGACTATCATGTTTACACAATGGAATGTATCATTTTTAAAGTATATTTTTGGCCTAAATTTTTACCTTGTTGAACTGGTGTAGCTTTGCCCAGTGTATTAGACTAAATCTATTTGCAACAGCAAAGGATTTAACATCTAGTTTCTTTGTATTTTTCATTGGATTTTTTTTGTTTTATCTGTCAGGATAATAATGACTACTTAGATTTTTAAAAAGTGTAAAAAAACTAAACCAAACATTTTTTATATTACTGTGATGCGCATATTTTGTCCACTTTGCTTTATAAATATGCTGGACTAAATGTTAGTGGTCTTAATGAAGATGTATTTTTATTTGTTTTCTGTTCAGCCTCCTAAAATAAAATAAATCTTGATGTTTCTGTGAAGATTCCTAAAAGGATGAGAATTGCTGATTATCTTTGTAAAGATTTTTTTATAATTTCAAACTGAACTGTAGTTTGTTTGATAATTGCTCAGTTCCAAAGTATCTGAGGAAAAAATAATACTTTCCAGCATTGCTAATTATATTTTAGCTTTTCTTAAATGAGCAAAACTGGGACATTTCACAGGTGGACAAAATACAAATCAAAGTAAATATTTCACAGCAAATTGTTTATAACTGTGTACAGGTTCCATAAGATGTTTAAATAATATTCTAGTTATTAAGTGTAAACACTTCACACTATGTAAAAATTATCTGAAGGAAAAAAAAACAATTTTTGCATAATTAAGATGGGAGAATTTCATAGACTAAATACAAGTTTTATTGTGTCGAATCATGTAGCCTTTAAAATGTATTTTAGTGCAGAGACAAAAGCATTATCCATCACTAAATCCTCAGCATAGTGCAATTTTCAGCCTTCCATTACCAGGTTAACGTTTCTTACAACTTGGTTCTTTCATTGACTTTTAAGGAATTAGTGTGTTACAGTTGCTGTGGTTGTAGCTCATTAACATCAAAAATATGTAATTGCAGTTGATGGGCTGCAGTAAATATTATTATTATTTTTAAGCTCTCCTATGTTTTAAATCTGTATTTGCTTCTCCAGGATGATGATGTTTAATGCCAGGGTTTTGTGCATTGTACTTGCTAGAGCTAAAAATGAAGTAGTTCAGTTTAAATATGAACTACCTAAATTAAAACATGCCCAGCAGGCATTAAATTATTAAAAAAATATTTAGTGGCAGTCTGAACAGGCAGCGGAAGGTGTAGAGCGGGAATTGCAACCTTTCTCTTTGCTGGAGCAGTGGCAACACAATTGACTCTTGCTGGCACTCACCTTTCTTTAAAAAAACACCCCTCGCTCCTAACTGCCTGCGTTTTCCTCACATCTCGGCCCAAACACAAACCTGGCCTTGGGATAAA